TATCCATGGCTAAACTTTATTAAGTGCTTGCTCTGTGCCGACCCAAAAACCAAACCTATTGCCGTCGAGTCAATTCTGACTCATAGTGACCCTATAGGAAAAAGAAGAACTGCCCCATAGGGTTTCCAAGATGCGGCTGGTGGATTCAAACTGCCAACCTTTTGGTTAGTAACCCTAGCTCTTAACCACTGTGTCACCAGGACTCTTTCTGTGCCAGGCGTCTCTAATATTTGTGTAAGTATTCGTCCTTTAATCCTGACAACAGCCGGAGGAGGCAAGCACTATCATTAACCGTATTTTACGCAGGTGGAAACTAAAGTTGAGAGAACTTACCTAGGGTCACACAATTAGCAAGTGATCAAGCCAGAATTTGAATCCACGCTTCCTTATTCCTCAGGACTGTTTGGTTAAGGTACACCGTATATGGAAATGGAGTCCCTGGGTGATGGAAACGGTTAACATTCTCAGCTGCTAACCAAAAGGTTGGAAGTTCAAGTCCACTCAAAGGCACCTCAGAAGAAAATTCTGACAATCTACTTCTAAAAAAACTAGCCATTGAAAATCCTATAGAACACAGTTCTACTCTGACACACATGAGGTTGCCGTGAGTCAGAATTGACTCAATATCAACTGGCTTTGGTGTATGGAAAGTGCTGGGGAGACTGACCTCTAAACCTCCCAGTTGAAGAAGACATCCCGGAGGTAGTAATCTCCTGAAGGGATCAGCCAGGTAAAGAAGAAAAGGACATCTTAGGAGCGGCCCATTAAGGAAAATTTTCTGTATGTTGTTTTATGGATGTAGCTATCTCTCTGTGGCCCTCAACTTTTCTGGGGCATGGTTGATTTGGTACTTTAGGTTTTATCAGCATTTTATGTCTACGTAATTGTCTGCTCAGTGATACCCATCAGTGGTTAAGGTGGTTGAAATAATGAAGACGATGGCAGTCTGTTTATTTCTGTCATACAGACTTAGCTTTAAGGTTTGGTTTCATCTATTTAGAATTGGGGTCTAAATTACCATGAATTTCAAATGAAATTTATTATAAAAATACAATGTGGTCCAATCATATTTACTTATCAAAATAATTAACAGTAAAGTTCAGAACAACAGTATCAGATCTGCATGATTCTGACCCAGAAAGATTCCAAATAAGCTGCCCATTTGTGAGCAGGCACATAACAAGGAAGGGTGAGAAAGAATATCAGAGAAAAAAAATGTTCATAAGTAGAGTACTTTCAATTTCAAGTTGTCAGAGCATTTCTATGCACATAAATGAATCAAGTGCCAGTTGAATAGTTAAGAAAATGCTTTTCACAGACCTCTTTAAAATTTTACAGGTGTCAAAGAAATTCTACCAAAGAAGCTGAAGGTGCACTTGGAGTGTGTTTTATGTTCAGTGATATTGCCTGACATAAGGACAGAATGTGAGACTAAGTATCTTCATCCACAGAATGCTTCAATTCTGACGTCAGGTTAGATTTCATCATGAACTAGCAATATCCTGGATGATTACATTAATTCACTGTAAAAGAATGCAACAACTACTATAGATCTTGTTCCCATGTGGCATAATGAAAAAAAACTTTCTGTAAAGACTTGTGTTGTGACTTTATGAAGTCAGTCTACTCTATGCTATATGCTATATGTCATGTTTATCTGTGAAAGCCAATGCAATTGTGTGTATTAGGCTAAATTCCTTCTGTAATTTGAACCTCTCTCTATTAGGGTGATCTCTGTCCACTTTAAGGCCTTGCTATCCCTTCAGAAAACGAAGACCTTATCTCTTCAGATCTCACACTGAATTCCATTTGCCTCTGAATTCCAATCAAAGGAAACAGAATAATCCAATTTCCTTTGAAATAAATTTTTGATGCAATCCGATGTTGACACGGATCTCAAGAGTGGTCTATGTAAAAGCATACTCTCTGGCTGGATCATTGCCCACATTGGTTTTTTGTATCTGATTCAAAGCTGTTTGAAACAAGGTTTCTCTTGGGTCTCTTATACTATTACAGCCTGGATAAATTGACTTTAGAGGGAAACATCTTGGTAGATCGGCTTTGTGAATTTAGGAGATGTAAGGGTTTTGTCAGAGAAAAGTGGTACGGTTAAGCCTTGATGTGATAAACAAATGGGATTCTAAACAAAGCTGTTGTTCAAGAGATAGGCTAAGTTTCTAAGAAATGACTTAGAGTCTGGAGCCAGGCTTACCAGGGGGACCTGTGATTCTTGTCCAACATCAAAGAAAGAGTGGAGGGTGGAGGAATGAATTTACAAGTCACATGTTTCCTGGGGCATGGACATTCTCCTTTCTACACAAGCCCCTAAATTTTATCCTTCAGTGGGCTTCTATTACACCAATTCTCTGACCCTCTCAGATGGGTGTTTAATCTAGTTATTCTTTTGTTTTGTTTTCAAATTGTTCATGTGTCATCTTGCCTCCACAACCAGATTGAAAAGTCCTAGTGATTAGGGGCCATGTTTTACACGGCTTTTGTGGCTAACACAGCATCTGATATTGTACAGAGTTCACAGGAGCCTTCCTGTCAATCCTTGTAAAATTGAACCAAATTAAGTAAGTAGCCTTGGTAATCTTGACCCAAGGCCAGGGCAGACTCCACAAAATCTATTAGTCCTCATTAGCAGCTACTTCACATCTCATTTCTCCTGCCAAAGTATCCTCCTGCCCCAACTTCCTACACTATGTTCTTCTCTTCAAAAGGCATCTTCATTTTTGGAAATCTCCTAGGCTATTCTCATCTGTAGTCCTCTTTCTTCTTCTTGAATGTCAAATTTAGGTGGATGATGTTACAAGGTTATTTATCAGTAATTAACAAGTTAATAGATTATACCTGTGTGGTAGTCTAATTTGAACACAAGGTTTTAATAATAAGTATGTGCTTACAGGCCTTGTAAGTGGCTTTACGATATGAATACAGTCTTTACTGAAAATGGCAAAATAGTCATTTTTGCTGGAGTTCAACTTTGTCTCCAAAGCCCAAGCTATTTCTTTATCTCTTAATTTTTTGCTTCCTTTCCTCTTAAAAATGTATATTTCCTCTGATTCTTAAATCAGTTAGTAGTTATTGTTAAAATTTTGGCAAATAACGAAGGACAACAAGAAAATGAAATCCATCCAAACTCCCATCACCCAGAGATAAACATTTTGAAGTAATGTATGTGCATGACTCTCATTTCATAAACTTGGATGTTCAAGACAAGTTTTATTTGTTATTTTCTTACATTCAAGTCAAATCTGACCATATCCTTCAGTCATCCTTCCAGAAGATATTAGAAGCACTTTGTCAACTTTGAAGAAGTTTTATTATAATTGAAAATTGTAAATTATTTCATTAAAAGTAGATTTTTTAAAATCATATTCAGTCTCCCTTCAAGGTATATATTTTATAATCATTATTCAAGTTTTCTTTTGCCTCTCAGAATTTTTTTGGGGGGGAGTAATTATTTTTAGACATTTAACGTTTTTTGTTGTTGTTGCAATTGTGAAAAGAATCTTTTTATTCTAACAATTTCTGTTATGGCTGGAATTAAGAAAGTTACTGTTTGGCTTTTTTTTTTTTTTTGTATCTGTTTTATTTTCAACCATATTAGTAAACTTTACTATTAGATTTTCAGTTTATTCTTTGGGAATTTTTATTAGACCCCAGCATCATTTACGAATGGTAATTAGCTATACCTCTTATTTCTATTTCATGTCTTATTAGGTTGACTAAAATGTGAAGAATAGGATCACCAATGCCAGCATCCCTATTTTAAAGGAAATCTCTCCAGTGTTTTTTAGAGATAAATATGGTAGCTGCTGTTTTGAGATAGATGTTCCTTTTCATGTTAAGTAATCAATGGTTATTTTAAAAACGTCCTCTAAATTGAAAGTTTCTTAAGAATTTGATAGTCAGCTTTTTAAAAACTAGTGTCCAGTGTAAAATCTATTAATTTATTGATCATTAATGGATAGTAGCAGGGTAATTATAATAATAACTAACTTCTGTTGATATTATTCCACTTAACCTGGTTTGACTTTATCATGCCATTTATATTTTTGTTTTTACTACTTGTATTTGTATTTTTCCTTCCTCTTCCATTGCATCATAATCGCCATATTTTTCCTTTGCAACATCTCACAATTTCTTTTAAAGTGTCCACATTCTATGAATATTTGTCATTGATGACCTACTAACTCAGCACTGATAATAATAACAATAACGGCTCCCTATTACTTATTGAGCACTTACTATGTACCAAGAAGTTCTAAGAACTTTAGATGCTACATTTTTAATCCATACAACAATCCTTTGAGGTAGATAATATTACTATTATTATACATTTTTTGCTGTATGAGGAAACTGAGGTGCTGATAGAGATTAAGCAGGTTGCCTCAGGGATACACATAAGTAACAGAGCTTGGATTTGAATCCAACGTGCCTAACCCAAGAGCTGTGTCCCCTCCCACAGATGGCCACGTTATTGTATAAATCATGCTGCCAAACTTCTTTAAATGAAATTTTAATCCTCCTTTGATAGCTTTGAGGCATGATGCAACCAACAGGGTGAGTAAGATCAAAACGTGCTTCTCTGGAAAAGCATTTAATTTTTGTTTCTACTTATCAAGATTGAACGTTTGATTCTTTAATGTGAAATGGCCCTAAGAATGTTTTACAAAAAAAGAGTTGTTTTATTCAGTATTTTTTATGGTTTAACCTAACCAGTAAAACTGATTTTTTTCTTTTCTTTTTTTTAAATTGTGTTTTAGGTTAAAGTTTACAGAGCAAATTAGTTTCTCATTCAAAAATTTATACATAGATTGTTTTGTGACATTGGTTGCAATCCCTGCAATGTGTCGGCACTCTCCCCCTTTCCCTTTATACCCCAGGTTCCCCGAGTCCATTCCTCCAGGTTTCCTGTCCCTTCCTGCCTTCTCATCTTTGCTTTTGGGCAGGTGTTGCCCATTAGGGCTCCTATACTTGATTAAACTAAAAAGAAAAATATGGAACGCTTCTCGAATTTGTGTATCATTCTTGTGCAGGGGCTATGCTAATCTTCTCTTTATCATTCCAATTTTAATATATGTGCTGCCAAAGCGAATACTGATTATTTCTTAAATCATTGTTTTGCATAATTCTTTATTTTTATTGAAAGCAAAAATTGTTTATCTCTGTAGAAGAATAAATATTCACTGTTAGTAAAGTTATGATATACTTTGAATAGTCCACCATCAGATGGTTTTCCCAGGGCTTTCTGGCTAATTGGTCAAACTGTGCTCTGTGGGGTGCAGGGTGATGGCCTCACAGGGGCCTGGACTGAGAGGGAGGTGGTGGGGCTCTGGTCCAGCCTGTCCCCAGTCATGTGTGGCTGCTGGAAAACCAGAAAAATGTTCTTTGATGTGTAAAGAATGTGTCAAACAAAGTAAAGTGTAATTCTCAAGCTTTCTTTCTGGTCTTGAACCTTAATTATCTATATAATTAATATGTTAACATCATTCGGAAATTTCAAAAATACATTTTTGCTATACATAAAGATAATTCAAATGTTTTTTGCCATCTGAAAGCTCTCATCATCTTGTTTAATCAATGTAAAATACACTATTTGAAAATCTTAAAAATTACCAGTTTACTATGTATATTAAACATCTTTGATTTTGAGTGATAAAGTTACCATTTTTATGCTGTTTTAGAAAATAAAATCTGTTGAGTCTTTGAGATACACTTTAACCGCAATTATATTTATGCTCCTCCCTTTACCGTATACGTCCGCGCGCGCACACACACACACACACACACACACACACACAATCATGGTAATAACAAAGTGATAGCCACCTCCCAATTCTACTAGACAGTGCTTATGAAATAGTATATTTCAGATTCTCGAATAATCTACTCAGTCTTCCAAAGTTTTATATCTACCAATAAAATGCTATTTTCCATAATTTTATTTTCTACCAGATTAGTTTATAGATAGTTCTTGGAGTCGATGTTTTTCGAAATTGTCATGGTTCTTCATGAAAAAAAGAGCTAACTTTTGTTCTCACATTCATTTTGCATCTCTCAGTTGTGTCTGCCTTTAGTGTTTTAATTGCAGGTTATTCTGGGTATCTACATAAAGCTGAATTAGTTTGGAAGCCAAATTTCATTATTTCTACTTCGAAGATAGGTCCAAAACAGATGCAACAAATTTTAACTATCATTTTCATTGGGATCACAGGACGGTATTGATGTGGAAGACATCTGTGGCACAGGCCAGAGGAGAGATGGTTGGCTTCCTCTTAGAGACAGGGCAAAGGATATAGCAAAACAGATCTAAGGATGCCTTAAGGAATTCCAGCACTGCCTACATGTGCACACAGATCCTGGTAAACCAATTAGAGCAGATTCAGAGGCCATTTACAGGGGACCAGGGACAGACTGAGTGATCCAGGCTTTTCCTACTATTTCTAACAGAGTCTAGAACGAAGAGTAGATACGATAAAATAGTTACACTTAAAGAATAGATAGAAACGCCTTCTAATGGGAGAAGTGTTTTCTCAAGCAGGAATATGGTCACAGCAAATTTGAGTTCCCACGCACTACTGTTAGGAGAGTTATATGTCTGGAGACAAATGAAGCAGCGAGGTGGATAGATACAACCTATATTGGAAAGGTGAAAATGAAAAAAAGCAGGCAATACTGTACTGTTAAGGAGCCCTGGTGGTCCAACGGTTAAGCACTTGGCTGCTAACTGAAAGGTTGGCAATTCGAAGCTACCAGCTGCCTTGGGAGAGATAAACCTGGAGATCTGCTCCTGTAAAGATTACAGCCTAGGAAACCCTATGGGGCAGTTCTACTCTGTCCTATAGGGTTAATATAAGTTGGAATTGACTGGATGGCACACAACAAAAACAACTGTACTATTAGTTGAATATATTGACAATGCCGGAAAAGTATACATGTAAACTTATATTATTCACTTAACAAATATTACTGAGCACCTACTATATGCTAGAAACTGTGTCCATTTGCTGAGGAGACAAAAGCCTGCAAATTAAACATGGTCCCCGTCTTCCCAGTCTTGTAGGGGAGACTTTATGCATATCAAAATACTAGCACAAGTATAAAGATATATATCAAAAAAAGATACGCTTTTTTATTTTTACCATTCTCAATGTTTGCACTTGTACAATCCATACTTTTCACCATCATAAGCTATAAATATTAAGTGTTGGTGTAATAATAAGCATTTTACATATGCTAACTTATTTCTCATATAGTTCTCTGAGGCAGGTGAACTATTAATATCCTCATTTTATAAATGAGAAACTGAGGCATAGAAGGATGAAAGTAATTTACCTAGAGCTATACAGCTTCTAAAGTGGGGAGCTGGGAACCAAACCCACACCACATAGTAGAGAGTCTATGTTCTTGATCATGACTATATTGCAAAGATGCAATTCTTAGTGTTAAACTTCCTGTAAGATGTGATCCGGAGCATTTGTATTTATAGGTTTCCCTTTCATTGGGTCATAATGTCCCTATGGATCATGCCATTTATGTTTTTCAGAGTGCTCTGTATACAGTGTGTCTTTGGAATGTGTTATTGATAACTGATTTACCAGCCAGGCAGAGTCAAATTGTTGCATAAATGATGTTGGCAAACTTTCTTAAATGCAACTTTAATTCTGCTTTGTAACTATCAGGTGACCTGAGTTAACAGGGTTTTAAGTAAGGGTAAACCTACCACCCGTCTGGCAGTTTGTCATACTGTGCTGGCTCGTGTGTTGCTATGATGCTATGCCGCCAATATTTCAAATGCCAGCAGGATCACCATAGTGGACAGATTTCAGCAGAGCTTCCAGGCTGAGACAGATTAGGAAGAAAGGCCTAGAGATCCACTTCCAAAAATTAGCCAATGAAAACTTTATAGATAGCAACCCAACAATCATGAAGATGGTGCAAGACTGGGCAACATTTTGTTCTGTTATACATAAGGCTACCATGAATTGGAGCCAACCTGATGATACCTAATAACAACAACAACAAATCCTGGGGAAGTAAGGAGGACACAAGACTGTTTCAGCTCACCTACAAGTCAGAAAGTTCTTGGCATTTGGGATACAGCAGTGTTCTATGGATGCTGGCAGGAAAACTGGTGGCCCAGTGACATCTTTAAGAGGAGGCTGTTGTTGGGACAGAATGCCTCTGCCTGCTTTTTCTCCCTAGTGGCATTCTCTCTCCACTTTTGTTCTCCATATTACATGTCTACTAATTACGGTCTGATTCCATTGCTTCATGGCACCTCCTGCAGAGTTATTTCCACTGTGTTGACATAGTTGGGAGCCTCAGATTTACATTCCCTGAGACAGTATCTGATGGGACCCAGTTTAAGTTACCTGGTTTAAGGCAGAGCTTTGGGGCTGGTCCTCCACATGAGCTGATGGCCAGTTGGGAATAGGTTACCCTTGACTCAGGAGCTGACCCCAACCGACTAATTTTTAGCCAGGTTGTTATGATACCTAGCGTATGACGTGTCAGGAGCTTTCTAAAGGAGGTTCTGGGCATACTAGGCACTCTGAGAATCCGAAAATGGTGTAGTGAAACTTTCAGACAATTTGCATAGCTTTTTAAGTGTAAAGATATTTATTTCTTTCCACATTGAGTGCCTATGTGACCCGTGTCAGTGATTTATGTAGCTGGCAGGCAGGGAACAGAGGGGAAAAAAAAATCTTTTGGTTAGAATAGAAAGAGAATGAGAGAAGAACCATGAAATTATTAGAACTTAAATGAATATGTTTAAATTTCTATAGCAAGGTGGTAAGTTCCTTTGCAACAGTGCTTGTTTTTTAAAATACATTTTTACTATTTCACATGTGGTAGGAAATATATATTGACTGACTTGGAAAAACAAAACAACACCGACACCAATTTTTAAAATAAAAATTCCTTCCAAATATCTGTAAACAAGTCTTTCATCACTACTTATTAATGTAATAGAATTGCTGCTAAGAATATTTACTAATATTTAAGAAACAATTAATTAAAAGCAATAGGTGGAATCCTTTTGTAATAAATTATGCCAACATACATAATGGTTTTTTTTTTTTTTTTTTTTTTTAAGATTATGTTGTTGTTAGGTGCCATTGAGTTGGTCCCTGACTCATGGCAACCTCATGTACAATGGAATGAAATGCTGCTCTGTCCTGTGCGATCTCCCTCGCTGGCTGTGATCCATAGGGTTTTCATTGGCTGATTTTTTAGGAGTAGATCGCTGGGCCTTTTCTTCCTAGTTGGTCTTAGTCTGTAAGCTCTGCTGAAACCTGTTCAGTATCATAGTGACATGCAAACCACCACTGACAGATGGGTGGTGGCTGTGCATGAGGGGCATCGGCCAGGAATCAAACCCGAGTCTCCTGCATGAAAGGTGAGAATTCTACACTGAACCACCAATGTCCTCCTTTTAAAACTATGAAATTGCAATATTAAAAATAAAGAATATATTAGTCAGTGTCCGGTTAGGAAAACAGAGCCTTTACCAGATATAGTTCAATAAATACATTTATTATGGGGAAATAGTTACAAAGGGGTTGAAAGAGGTGAAAAGTCAGATAGGGAAAACAAAGCAACCCAGAAATTAGCAATAGGAGGAAGCCTCTCTTACCTTCGGGGCTGGAGGAACCAAGGGAGGAGGCAGTGTTCCCAGAGCCCTGATGCGTGGGACCACAAAGGAAGAAGTTGTCCAGCAAGGCCTAGAACCATAAAGGGAGAGACTTTCTGATAGAAACTGGCCTATAGAGAAGACACAGTTACTAGTCAAAGTAGAGAGAGGGGATAAATACTCTGGCTTCTTCCATTCCCCCATTCCCAAATCTCCCAGTAGTACTCCCATTGGCCACACCTAACAAAAGTAAGTTTGAAAAGGATCCTGGGAAATGCAGTTTATAGAGTTGGCCCCATGCAATACAGTGAAGATCAGGGGGAAAATGAGGAATAGTAGTAAGAGTAAATAGGCAAATGATCTGCACAAAAGACATGAAGGAGAGAATGAAATATTTTATTCATGTAATAATCAAGTTTTATGGAAAAAATTTTCAGATATATTTAGCTGTACACCTACTC